CCATGCGGACCGCACAGAAAGGCACCGCGGCCGTGTGGCTGCCAGCACGAACCGCGCAGAAATGGCTGCGGCCGCGCTGGGCCTGCAACATCTGACATGTATTTTTTTTAAGCTTAAGACCTCCCGGGCCCCACTCAAAACTCATCCGAGCCCTCGGGGCTCCAAACCAAACATGTACACAACCTTAAAAACATCTTACGGACTTACTCGTGCGATCAAATCACCNNNACTAGCTTGTTCACTTGTATTCAAAATTCAAACGCGCAACGAATACAAATGCTCTTGTTGACGGTTGAGAGTCAAACTCATGACCTCTGCTAAGTTAGCGGGCCCTCTAACCAACTAAGCTACGAGAGCTTATTGCCCTCTTGTTTCAATTCAAAATAATTAATCTGTATTTCATGGATTTGCTATAAAATACAACTATAGCTAAAGAATGATAAACTTACTAAAAAAATATAGCTAAACACAATATAAATATTTGATATATTACGTAATTTTTCCTAAAAACAAAGAGCTCTTGGGAGATTTATAAACAAATTAATATTATAACCAAATATTTCAACTTGCGGGCTTCCAAACTCAAGCTTACAGTTGTTTAAGATTTGTTATTTTCCTATCGTTAAATATTACAGTTAGTGATTTCTCTACTGAATACTATTAAACAGATCGATCAAACACATTCAAGAAATTTAAGTTCAAAATTTTTATAGCATTTATAATTTAAAACATTTAACCTACACGTTACAGTAAATATCACGTTTAATTCTTCTTGCTCTTTTTTTATTTAAATTCCACACGCACTTTTTTTTAATAGGTACTTTCTTTTAAGGATCAAACACACTTATCCGCCGAAAGCTTTTTAAAAACTTATTATGCTCCATTTGGACTTCTTTTTTAGGGTATGTTTGGAAAGCAATTAGGTAATTGGAATTGCTGTAATTACTAGGGTAGTAATTACACAGCCTAGTAGTTACACAGTTGTGTAATTACGACGACATGTTGCAATTACAAGTTTACTGTTTGGTTGCACAAGTGTAATTACACAGTTAAATTAAATTTAAATGAAATAATTATCAACATTTACAAGTTAATATAATAAATATATGCATATAAATTTTTTAAGTATAAATGATATTATATTTGGTATTTAAGATATATATTTTTCGTGAATATACATTAATTAGTAATCATATATTTATAACTAATATTTTAAAAATAATTTATATATATATGTATATATATTTCAAATTAATAATATTTAGTTTAGATACTTACAAAAACTAAAAACATACGTTTTGTAAGAACATCATGGAATTCATGTTTGATAAAATAAATTAGTATTTATAAATATAATGTCATAACATTATTCAAATATTTGAAAAAATTAGTCTATTAATTGTAACTAAAAAATGAACAACATGCAGTGAGCCAATACTACTGAAACAAGTAAATTGGAACCATAAAATAACATAATTTCAAAATTCAAAAAAAAAAAAAAAGTTTAACATACGTCAAATTTCAACATAATAATAGTAAGTTCCACTACAACTTATGATTAGGAAACACAATAAGTTTATCACCACATTCAACAACGAAATTCCACTTTAGTTGCATCACTTATTATATGCCAAGTTTGTTAATGACTCATTATTTCTAATGTTAGGAGGTGTAGTTTCAAAAAATAGAATAACAAAATAAATAAATAATAAAATATAAGCAATTACACGGAATCACAAGAAGTAAAGGTAGAGAAATAAAAGACAAATAATGTACAAAGAAAAATGTATTTTAAATTTTCAAAGGATATTAAAAGGTAAAAATAAAATTTAAAAATTAAAATAATAGAAATAAAAAGTTATAAAGAAAATAAATTAAAATAAAAATAAAAAGGCAACTTTGTAATTACACAGTGTAATTACCACCAATTCTCACCTCCTCCTTGAGAATTAGAGTGTAATTACATCCCTCCAATTACACCCAATTTTATGCTGATCAGGTAATTACTTGACCAAATAAACATATCAAACTGTATAATTACACCTAATTACACTCAAATCTAATTCCCACGTGGCTTTCCAAAGAGGCTGTTATTCTTCTCCAATTGGACCCAAACTTGTATTAGGAGAAGTTTTGGGACCAAATATGGAATTTTCATTTTTTTCAATACTCCCTTCATGCTTTGCTTCCTTGCTCTCCCTGAAACCAAAAGCTTATTCTCCGCCGTTCACCTGCCGGAACTCCGCCGGCAATGGAATTCTCGGACGAGTGGAAGTCTCTATGGCCAATATCTTCATCGTATTCGCCACCACTTCTACTCTCAGATTATTCACACGAAGAAAAATCCTCCTCAAAACGACGCCGTATTGAGAGTCCAATTGGCCCTTTGATTTTCAAGCCATGTGCAGAAACCCTAAGACTACTCCTCCGGTCCCCATTGTTATCAACTCGGCTTCCTCCTCCAGTTCCTGAGTTTTCTCTACCAAGATTTCTACAAACTTCAAGTAGTACACTTCCTTCTACAGCTTCTTCAATTGCTACACAGTTTATTACTCCACATGTTTCTGAATCAATTCACAACTTTAATGCAATCCAATTGCTCCCTTTCCCTAATATTTGTGAAACTAACAAACCCAATTCGGTTCTTGGATTTTTTCCAACTGGGGAAAATTATGACCAAGTTGGGTATTTTATACTATGTTTTGAGGATAAACAAGTTGTGGTTAAGAAATTTAAGAATGGGAAATATTTGTTAGTGCATAATCACAAGTTGAATTGTAGGATTTTGAGGTTAGTAGTGAACCCAGTTACTGTTAGTGAAATTTATGATAGTGCTTGTTTATCTACTTTTGGGTATTTATTGGTTTGTACTTTGTATTCTGTTCATTGGTATAGTGTGAAGATGGGGGTTAAAGGTGTTGGCAGTGTTACGGTAGATTATGTGGGTAGTGCTGATAGAAACTTGTTTAAGGGTTGTGCTGTTTCTTATGCTTGTTGGAGTCCACATTTGAGAGAAGAGTGTGTTGTGTTGTTGGAAAATGGGAACTTGTACTTGTTTGATATGGGTTCTTGCCTGAGGAGTCGGACTTTGTTTGCTTGTGATGTATTGCAAGGGAAGAAATTGCAGGTTTTGTGGGATAAGTTGGATAGAGATGGAGAGTGGCTAAGCTGTGAATTTAGCTGGCATCCGAAGATTTTGATTGTTGCGAATTCAAGGGCTGTGTTTTTGGTGGATTTGAGGTCAGAGAAGTGCAAAGTCTGCACCTTGCTAAAGATTGAGGCAGTGTCGTTGGGTAAAACTGATAGATTTCTTGCACTCTCTAGAGTGGAGTCTGACCCCTTTTGTTTTGCTGCAGTTTCTGGTCGCATGCTTCTTCTTTGTGATGTGAGGAAGCCATTAATGCCATTGTTGCGGTGGGTACATGGCCTGAATAATCCAGGTTACATGATTGTTTTAAGATTGTCAGACCTTAGGTCAAGCTCAATAGATGATAAATGGGCATGGGCTACCGAATCAGGGCGTTGCATTTTGGTAGGATCATTTTGGGACAGTGAATTTGCTCTATTCTGCTATGGGCCAGGTAGCAATCACGGCCGTGAGTTTCCTGAAATATCGAGGCTCAGTAAATCGGTATATGCTTGGGGACAGCCTTCAGGCCTCTCACTTTCTGGTCGTGATTGTTGTTGTGAAAGTTGTCTTATGAGAGTAGATTTCTCTAAAGACATTCTTCCTGATTGGATTAATTGGAGGCAAAAGGAAGTCATTGTTTTGGGGTTTGGCATTCTCAACAATGGCCTTTCTATTCAATCAGATGATACTAATAATTCTGTTGGGTTTTTGCTTGTAAGGTTAATGTCATGTGGCAGTTTAGAAGCTCAGAGATACACTGCAGCACGGGACTCTGAAGAAAGGTCAGAATCACCTGATGGAGGGAAATCTCTGTGCTCTGAAAATAACCTTCTGTATGATATGAGTATTGGAGAATTGGAATTAAAAAAGAAACCTTACTACCTGAACCTTGATTTTCTAAAAGGGTATCTAAATGGAACACTAACTAAAATCCTTAGTAGGAAACACATAGACAACCAAAAGGATTCTGAAGAAAATCCAGCAGAGATCCACCTGCAAATATGTCAGAAGCTTAAAGAATGTGGCATCACAAGACTGAGGCCATCTCAAAACGTTTTTGATGTTATCAGAGGTATCAGCTTTCCCGCAAGCATTTATGAGATTGCTTTAGAAAGCATTTGCGCCAGTTTGCCGAATACTCTTCTGGGGCTGTCTTTTTCTGCCTTCTCAAGATTCCCTGAAGTTCACCTGAAACCAAAGAAAGGTTCTCTAGAATTGTTTGATATTTTGGACAAACTATATCCACTGCCTTTTCCCTTGCATAAATGTTGCATTGATGAGACATCGGAAAAAGTTCAGTCTCCTAGTTCTTCTTCTGCTCCCGTTCTTCCTCCTCCTTTTCTGGTGGCTCTTAATAGCCTCCAAATAGCAGAAAGAGATATATTGCCACTTGATGCTGTACTTAGGCTTCAGAGTGATAAAGTTATGAAGGTGGCCCATGAAATCGGTCTGTCACACATTGGTACTGAGCCTGGTGATGGATATTCAGTTTCCCTTGATCCAGATACTGAATGCCCTAGCAATGTGATTGAAAAAATGAAGCCTCTCTGTTTGCATGAACCCGTGGCATTCTCTGACTGTAATTTTTCTAAAATGGACTCTGTCGGAGTAGAACCTGATAAAAGATTTAGATCCTTCATCTATAAAAAACACCAAGAACCTGTCTCAAGTACTAGCAAAGAGATGATAGGAGTGGAGTTGTTCGATGAGGAGTGCCCAGTAGAGCTCAAATTCAATGATAGTTCCATCATGCTGGAGGCAAATGAGCTGGAAACATTTAAGTTGTTGAAACAAAAGGACTTAGGTTTTCAGAAAAGCTTTCAGTTGTATCAAGAGTATTTAAGTGGTTGAAAGAGGATTGGTTCAGTGAAGCACTGTTAGGGGTATCCGAGTATTTAAGTGGTTGAAAGAGGATTGGTTCAGTGAAGCACTGTTAGGGGTATCCAATCTTCTCCAAGAAATGGCTATTACAGATTGAGATGGCAGGTTGAACATCAAAGAGTTTGACAATGAATGTTAGATTTCATTTTTCTCATACATTTATCTTTCTAAAACTCTTATTGGTGTTAATAATAAACTTTTTTTTGTTGCAGTTTTTGGATTTCGTGCCAGCGAAGTTGTAGCTCATTGTGCCCTGAAGCTGATATCCAGAGAACACAGTATGCTTTCTCTGTTTACTCCTCTTTCTCTTCCTATCATTTTGAATGGGTTATGAAATTGTGCAGATCTGATTAGTCAAGTGTATTCTGTTGTTTTCAAAAACAGGTTTCTTTTTTCTAGTTTTTGTTTGGATGATGGTGGTGACTGGTCTAATTTGCAATTATTCGTGCTTAGTGAAACTCTAAATTAATGAATGTAATTTTTTTCCCTTCCTCCCAGTTTTTTTTCTGGTGTTCTTTTGGTACTCTTCTGCATAAATGTGGCCTCCTCTATGTTTCTGTTGTCTGATTTTCTTTGGACTTTGGTCTGTCATTGTCATCTGCTCTGTCCTACATGGCTTATCTGTTCCTTTTTCCTTTTTCCTTTTTTCCTTTTTCCTTTTTTTCCTCTCTTGAGTGACCGAGTTTATTTATGGCATGAAACAACTCGTAGTATGGGTCTAGCTTATTGTAAAATCAACTCCTACTGGTAGAAGAGCTATATGTTAGTCCTACAGTCTTTTTGCCTCCTGTAGTAGAAGTTTTTGCTATTTGAGGAGTCTGAGAGAACCAATTTTTCTTACATCACTAATCTTGAATTTTTGCTTGTAGTTGGCTAGATTCTGTAACTCAATATGACAATTCTGAGATATTTAAAGGGGGGAAAACCAGGATGCCACTGTCGCGGATCATTGGACAGAGCAAGGCTAGACTTTCAGTTTTAGGCATAACATAAACTACTGGGAGTTCAACAGTGTTTACAGTCTAAATCTGACTCTCTTACTTGGAAAAGTGATGCAAAGGGGAGATTTAAGGTGAGAGGTTGTTTATCAACACTTAAGAAGAGAATATGGCAGCATCCCAAACTGGCCTTGGAGCGGCATTTGGAGAAACAAGGCACCTTTAAAGGTGGACTGGTTTACCTGGCTGGTGCCGCAGAAAGTATGCCTAACCCAAGAGAACTTCAGAAAGGAGGGATCAATTTTTGCAGCAGGTGCCGTTTGTTTGAAAGGCAAAGCGAGGTTGTTAATCATATCTTCATTCATTGCGTTTACACCACTAAGATTTGGCATTTCATTGTTAATGTTGTAAGGGTAGCTGGGCAATGCCAAAATAACTACAATATTAATGCAATGCTGGTATTTTGAAAGGGCTGGAAAAGCACAAGGTGAAAACATTGAATTCAATCCATCCTACAATCTGGTGGATCATATGGAAAGAAAGGAACATAAGAATTTTTTAGAGCAAAAATGATTCTGTAATTAGCATTAAATACATATGCATTTCTTTACTCTCTCTTTTTGGTGTAACATGGCAACTGCAAATGACATAAATGCCATGATCGAATTTTTTAGCTCATTGCATAATTTGTAATGTGGCTTTTCTCTGTAATGACAAGAGGGGTTGTTGTGATGGTAAGCAACCTCCACTTCCAACCAAGAGGTTGTGAGTTCGAGTCTCCCCAAGAGCAAGGTGGGAAGTTCTTGGAGGGAAGGATGCCGAGGGTCTATTTGGAAACAGCCTCTATACCCCAGGGTAGGGGTAAGGTCTGCGTACACACTACCCTCCCAGACCCCACTAAGTGGGATTATACTGGGTTGTTGTTGTTGTTGTTGTTACTTTTATCTGTAATATTCTGCAGTCCCTTGCTACACATTAATAAAACACCTTTACCAATAAAATGAAAAATTAAAGAAACCTACTTACTCTGTTAGATATCTCAAAATTATACGTCGACTTAAAATGGGAATTTCTGTTTTTAGCAATAACCAGTAGCTCTTGCAGTTAAATTGTTTCCTGCCTGTATCTCTCGTGTATGCTTTTTAACATACACGAGGACGTATGTCTGAACATGTTTTCTATGTAGGTGGATTCCTGATGGACAACTTTGCCCTACAGTCCCCAACAGATCTAACTATATTCATTGGATTGAAGATCTTCTGTCATCGGACATCGTTCCTAAAGTTCAAGATGACAGAAACTGTATTAGGGGTTTTGATATAGGAACGGGAGCTAATTGCATTTACCCTCTTCTCGGTGCATCTCTTATGGGTTGGAAGTTTGTTGGCTCTGGTAGCCCCCTCTAATTTGTAATTTTCTCCCTTGCGTCATTGTTGGTGCTTGTCTAATAAAATTGCACTATATATTTATAAAACACTGATTTCTTCATATGTGTCATCCATTTGCTTTATAACAGATGTTACCAACGTAGCTTTCGAGTGGGCAGAGAAAAATGTTAAAAGTAATCCTCTTCTTTCTGAATTGATTGAAATCAGAAGAGTTAACATGGAAACCCCATCAGCTTCCAAGGAAGAGCTGAATGATGAACCAGGAAAATATGGCCAATGTAAAGACGTAGACTTCGACAATGCAGAGGCTGCTCTCATTGGACCTTCACCTCCTTCTCATCTCCCAGTGCACCCAGGTATAGGAAAAATTTACAATGGACCTCCTATACTTGTTGGCGTAGTCAAGGATGGGGAGAAATTCGATTTTTGTATGTGCAACCCTCCATTTTTTGAGACGATGGAAGAAGCTAGATTAAATCCAAAGACTTCTTGTGGTGGGACTATGCAGGAGATGGTTTGTCCTGGTGGAGAGAATGCTTTTATTACTCGTATTATTGAGGATAGTGTTCAGTTAAGGGAATCCTTTCGGAATGCTATCAGTCTTTGAATCTGGTTTATTGCATTATGTGTTAGAGAACTTTATCATGAAAGCTTAATTGAAGAGTCCTTATATTTCCTGACCCCATCTTTGCCAGGTGGTACACCTCGATGGTTGGAAGAAAAACTAACCTAAAGGTACTTATATCAAAGCTTTGGGAGGTTGGAGCAACAATAGTGAAGACAACTGACTTTGTGCAAGGCCAGACATGCCGATGGGGTCTTGCCTGGTCATTTCTCCCTCTTTCCAAGAAGATGGTACCATCCCACGTGGCTGAGAAGAATAACATGTCGTTCATGCTTGAGGTCTGTTATTACTAGACTTTTATTCTGTCATTTATTCAATCGTGGGAAATTGATAATTCTGATAAAAAAGAGCTCAAGTATCATAAGCTTGTCAGTAAAAGTTAGAACGAGCAATTTTCTTTTCACCTGATACTGTCTCTCACTTTTTATGTGTAAGCTTTGCGTCTTTTGTTAGAGGTGGTGTACACTTATAAAAAGAAACTCACAATTCGTCAACTACTTCCATCTTCTTTTTTGAGTGTAGTTCATTGTCCAAACGCAATTTCAACTTCCACAAACTTTTTCAACTTCAATTCAAATTTTGTCCACTTACATAGACATGGGGGTTGAGTTAGTATTTTGACAGTTTTGACTATGGTGTGGAACTGGTTCTTCTTTAGGGATGCATAACAGGGTGTGGGAGTTGAGTTAGTATTTTGACTGGTAAATGTGGAATTGGTTCTTCTTTAGGTATGTGTAAGAGGTAGTTTTTGATGGCTTGGAAGAATTCACTTGGAAGTAGAATCTATCTAATATAATTCCGTCATAGAAAGAACAAAATTCTTTTCGACCCCGTCATAATTTTCAATAAGTCCGGTGCACCGGGTGTGGCTGAATAGCGTTGCTTCGATTGTTCTTTATTAGTCACAATGGAAGATGTAGTTACGAAAAAGATCAACTTTCATAAATCCATTATTTATGCTGTGTGGCAGTGGTTTAGCATGTGGAATAGAACATAAGATCATGAATACAGCCGTTTGCTGTGGTCTTTACTTAACAAAATTATCTGATCACTAGTGCCATCAGTTGAGATCTTTTTGTTTTGCAGTCTAATGATTATCTTGTATAAAATGGATCATATCTACCATATATTTGCAAATAATACTTTTGAATTTGGATTGGGATAGGAAGCATCGGTATGTTCTTCTAACCATTTAACTGCTTGACTCACCTTGGGATATCATTATTTTCTCCCTCAATCTCCTTAACCGCAAGGAAATTTTTTGGTGGGACAAACAAGCTCTGTGCTCTGCCCCTGCCTTCCCACCCCACCTGAACCCAGGAAAAAAGTCAATTGGCAGTTGTATTGTCATTGTTATCCTTTTGCATGAACTGATTGTTGACAAATTATGTATTCTCCTCGGTTTGTACTTCTACCTTATGTATGAGTTCATGTGCTTCTCTAGGCAGACTAACTAGTTTCTGCACGAAGTGGTTGGACTAGTTCTGTTAATTACTTCCATTGCTAGTAGATCCAAGATTTCTTACCGATTTTCAATGTTTGTTTAGGGTCTGCAGCGCCATCAGAGTGCCATTGATGTATTGCAATCAGTGGAATCCTTTTTCTGTAGTATTGGTGCATCCTCTAAATTAGACTCTGCCTCGTTTAATGTTGATGTAAGCTCCATTTTGTTCTTCTCTCTGATAATTACTGCACCAGTTACATGTTTTTTCCTGAATCTCAATGTTTTCTTATAGGTAACTTTGTCAGGCGAGCAATGTAAGTCTATCATGAAGACCCGGTCACAGAATGGAAACGAACAGGATATACCAATATCTGCAAATTATTGCTCTGGCCAACTAAATGACATGCGCCTGCGAGTTTCTGTAATTCCCCTTATTATTTAGCATATTATGTACTTATGTCGTTGGAACCAATGCCTGGTTATTCTTGGGGCTTGTTAATCTCACTATTTAGTATGTGCGTCGTTGTATCTATAGGTCTTCCAGCAGATACCAGGGACACTTCTGGTGAGGGGATCATTGCTCCAGAAAGAGATCCCTGTATCAGGTTTGTCCAAAATCATTTGGTCATATCCAATCAATCCAGTAATATTTCATTTTCCCCCTTTCCTTACCTCCTAAACTATTTGGTCAAAGCCGGTAGTGTCTCATCCCTCTTTGACAGATTATTTTGATAAGGTAATTTGGTAAATAATTATATTTTTGAGAAACCTCCTATATACAAGCAGTTTACAAAACATGTTCTCTACAAATGATAACCAATTTTCTATACAAACAAGAATCCCATGGGTGCACCAAAAGCTCACTAAAAATCATGCTATTACTTACATATACAAAGTCATTTTCTACCCCCGCACAAGCTCTCCTATTTCTCTACTTCCACTAGAACCACATTATACGCCACATGGCAATGTCCTATGTCTTCTCTTCCTTCTTCTAAAAGCCCAGAGGCTCTGTAGGACTTGGATAGAAACTACAGAAAGAAAATTCTGAAAAGAAAAACATATTTGTTAGCGTTACCTCAACATACTCTCTTACCCATCCTTGATATTTTATTTGTTTTTGCAGGGGTGTTTTCTTTTATATTCCAGCAATTACAGGAAGTTCTAAAAAGCAAATTCAGTAAAGGCACCAGATAATGGTTCCTTCTCCTGGTGCAGAAGATAACCTGCGTATGATGTGCCGAACTACTAGTGAGATGATACAACGGTGACTTATGTGTATGGTTAAGGGCTGGGTAGGTTGTGTAGGAAATATTGAGGATCCTAGCAATTACAGGAAGTTTTGAAAAGCAGCAAATTCAGTAAAGGCATCAGATGATGCTTCATTCTCTAGGTGCTAAAGATAGCCAGTGTATGATCTGCATTCTGCAGTACTACTAGTGAGATGAAAGCAGTGTGACTTTTATGTATGGTTAACGGTTAGATAGGTTGTGAAGGAAATTGTTAAAGTGTATATCTATCTTTGGAAATTCTGCCAAATAAATATGGAGTGAAATTAACAATTCCTCCCGTCCTTTCTTGCATTGTTTTGTATTTTCTAAAAGAAATTTGTCATTTTAGTTTTAGGGGAATTCGGGGATGTTGAGCATTGATAAAATTGTGTTGTCTATGTTTTGAACATGTTATTTGTGTGATAGCCGATAAATCATCGAGATCCATTGGCACATGGTTCAAAATTCGGTGTATAATGGGCTCACCGTCTATTCTTCCTCCACTTAAATTCCAAGTTTTTGTATCTAATAATGTTTGAACGACATATTTTATACAATTTGTTTCTTTTAATCTAGTCGACATTAGGACTAGATTGTGATACTCTTAATAATATAATAGTTTTTCTCTGCAATAAGGTTTGAACGACATATTTTATAGAATTTGTTTTTCTAACCTAAGAATGATGCTGACATTTGGACTAAATCGTGACTCTCTTAATAATATAATACCTTTAAATAAATGTATATTTTTAACTGTTTTAAAAGTAATAGCGAACAAAATGTATATTTTTTGTATACAAATATATTATGTACAAAAATATACATATTTTTGCCGCATCAACTTTTTCGGCTATATTATACATTTTTCGGCTAGCGAATGGAATTAATCTTATACATTTTTTCGGCAAACGAATTAAATTAATCTTATACCCAGTATTTTGGTATGTTTTTGCCGCATCAACTTGTAAATGTATGCTGAAAGCAGCAGCGAAACCCGCCTGAGTGAGAACACAACCAACATCATAATGCTAAAAGCTTCTGCTACAATTTCGTTTCCTTTACTTCTTCTTTCCTTTAAAGTAAACATAAGCATTCATCTAGTAAAGAGCATGGACGAGATGTGAGTGAATCATTCACGAGAGAATAATAAAATAGTAAGATACCATTATCTGACTAACAGAATGTGTTGTAACTATTCTAATAGATTAGTACAGTAGAAGAAAAATAACATTCAGTTGTTTCTTTTCAGTTCGAAGCAGCCACAAATAAAGCGACTGCTCTGTCTAGAAATGAGAGCAAGCTGCTCCGATATACGCTCCTTCCGTTAGGATCTTCATGGGTAGGGATGACAAATTCCAGCAAAATTCTGGTTATGATCTTTCAATACAACAATATACCATCCAGCACGCAATCATAGCTATCTTCAGCTACATTGTCAATAAAATGAAGCTATTGACCACCTGCCGACTCTAAATCCCCAGCGTTCAAAACTATAATGTTCTCAATCATGACAACTAAGAACTAATGGCGCTTCTTTTCTAGACTTGCTGCAACACGACGTCACAGTTGCTTCTGGATAGGCATTTTACCAGGGAAACCCCACCTCAAAAATCATTCCCAGGCACAACAGGCAAAAAATGTCAGCAATGCCCATACCAGCAGCTTAGACCTTAAGGCTGTTGGCACAAGAACTAACTTCAACCAATCATTTAAGTTCCTCAACAAATCAGAGGTGATAATTGTGAAGAAGCCCAGCGGCAGCCAAAATGGCATATAAGAATGGCTTGTTTTCTGGTGTGTGCTGGTTGAGAGGGTGGCCCATGTAGTTCACATCAAAGGCTGCTACCTCTAGCATCAAGCCCACCATGTATGAAACTGTATTGACAAGATTTGGATTAAAATCAGAGCTGGCTCGATGCATGCATTTGACATGTGCTTGCCAGCCATGTTAACAGGAAGAAAAATTAAGAAAAGCAGATGGATGGCAAATTGTCCTAGGAGGAAGAGGAAGACGCAGGAGCAGAAATATTCGTATTAGTTCGCTCCGATCAGGGTTGGAAGGGGATGAGCATGTGAGATAAACTGATAAAAACAATCAAACAATTAGGTACTATTATTGGCAATAATTTGGAATTCACTTCCGACTTAGATTTTCCAAACCTCAATTTTATCATTCAATCAAGGCATCTTTGCAATCAAACAATTCTCATAAAAAGGTACTTTTATTCTTGAATGCATCCAGAGTATGGGCTGATTCAAACATATTTGAGCTTTCACATTTTTATCGTTTGATGATTTAGCATAAACTAAATTTCTTCAAGTTTGAATCAACTATGAGATGTCAACATTTAGTCCAGTATGACAACTACAAAGGAAAAAAAGATGACTGGTTTTGATTTGAGAAATTGCCGTTAATGTACAGTGGATGGCCTAGGGAGAACACCTAAGGAAGATATTTCGCTCGCAAAGTTAGAGGGTGGTGGAGGTCTGGAGGAGCAGTGGCCCAAAGCTGTTGTTCATGCATTCTCTTGAAACAAGAAACAATGAAGCGTCCAGGTTAACTGAAAATACAGGACAGGCTGTTCCAGGGATCTCTGATCTTATTCTTATGGCAGAGACTCAAAAGAGACGGGACATTTAACAAAATTATGCAAGTGCAACTAGATAATGTTCAAATATTTCCACACACGAGATAAAGTATGAGCAGTTAACAAGCCAAAGAAATAATTGCCTGCATTAAAATTCACCTAAATTTAGATACACTCTATAAATACCGTAAGGTGTGCCAAGTAAACATATTTATTTTGCATACGTTTCAGTGATACAGAGGAGAAAAAATGGAAAGAAATTTTACCTTTCACTATCATGTAATAAATCATCATCTTCTGTCTTATCAGCTAAAAGTTGCAAAATCGTGAGTGTATCTTTCTCTAACGTATTCAACTGACTGCACCCAAAAGAGGGACGCAGTTTTTGCTCAATCTCTAACCAACTAACAGCCTGCTCTTTCCTAACATGTCTCTCATTCATAAGCTGTCTCACTTTCTCTACATTTTCCCACATCCCAAGTGCACCATAAATACTTGACAACAGCAAATATGCGGCAGGAGACTGTGGGTCCAGCTCTATTAGTAGTTCGGCAGCCATTCTACCCAACTCTACATTTCCATGAATCCTACAAACATCAAGTAAGGCATTCCAAATATGATCATCAGGTTCACAAGGCATCTTCTTTATCTGAGCTAGCACTTCACTAAAACGTCCTGCTCTACCTATGAGGTCAATTATGCATGCATAATGTTCTTCATCGGGAGGAACATTATGATTAGAAGTCATCATCTCGAAAAAAGAAAGGCCTTCCTGCACTAGTCTTGAATGACTACAAGCATTGAGAAGGACGACAAATGTGATTCTGTTTGGTTTCACTCCAATCTTCACCATCTTAAAGAACATTTCAATTGGCTCTTCACCCATACCATGTTGTGCTAATGCAGACAACATGGTATTCCATAATACTGCATCATGTTTGTTGCCCATCGTATCAAATACCCTCTTTGCAACTTCCAAATTTCCACATTTTGAATACATATCAATGAGAGAACTCATAACAATTGCATTAGGTCTTAAACCAGCATTCACCAGGAATGCATGTACTTGCTTACCATGCTTAAGTGATGCTATATCAGCACAAGCAGATAGACAACTACTAAACGTAAACTGATCAGGTTGGACCTGAAGCTTCACCATCTTTGCAAATAACTCAAGGGCCTGAAGGTTCATGCCACTATGGGAATAACCAGCAATCAAAGTCGTCCAAGAAACAGGATACTTCTCAGGCATTGCTTCAAACAGCTCCCTGGCTGACACCATATCGCCACACCTTGAATAGCCTGAAACCAAGGTGGTCCAAGCAAGAACATCTCTTACTCTCATTGCATCAAACAACCTTCTAGCATCGCTCATCTTTCCACATTTTGCATATGCATCAACAATCGAACTAGAAAGAACTATGTTAGATAAAAACCCAGCGACAAATACTTGGCAATGAACCTGCTCAGTGAGAGAAAAATCCCTGGACTTAAACAAGCAGTAATAACCCCAGCAAAGCTATACTCATTGAACCCAATACTTAACCTCCTAAATTCTCTATAAAACTTGAGAGCCTCGTTGAAGTACCCAAGCTGAGCATAAGCAATCACCATAGTATTCCAAGAAACAACATCTTTCTCGGGCATTTTGTCAAACAGCCTTTTAGCAGCCTTTACCATGCCTGACTTAGCAAAGCATATTATTCCAGGAATACAAATTTCTCGTAGTCATTTTATCAAACACGCTACGTGCTTCAATATGATGACCGCATTTACCACACACACCAATCAAATGATTGGCAAGAAAAGTAGTGGGGTGTTTCCACCCAGTGGTTTTGAGATGGAAATGGATCCATTTTCCTTGTCTATATGACTTTGAATTGGCACACTGTTGAATTAGAAAAGCTAGAGTTTTACTGTCTAAGCGAATGCCTTTGCGAGTTAGGATGTTAAGGTTGAGAATATTTTGGACTGAGCATAAATTATTGAGCTTCTTGTTTGTATTATCAGATTTAACTCCAAACCTGCGAGCTTTGGAAGGTAAAGATGAAGTGGGCACATGTCAGAATGGGTTGCTTTGATTCTATTTCTAGCAAAATGGGTAGTTCAAATTCGCGTCGGAGATGGAACTTCCGGCAAAATCAGTTCCCAACGTTGGATCGGACTGTCAGAAGCGATGACTGCAAAAGTGTTTCAAAAAGTAAAAATATGTTTTAAGAATAAAAATAAAAATAATCAAAATGGTCCTTAATGTATAGGGATAAAACTATTTTGGTCCTTGATGTAAACATCTTAACACATTATGATCCTTTATGTTTGCAAAATTTGATAAATGTTAGCCCAAATCCTAATAAGTAACCGAAAACTCAAACACTCGTTAAACTTGAACAATTTCGTAAAGTTGAAATTTCTCAAATATAGACTTTGTACGTGTTCTTATCCTACTCTTCCGTCCACTTTTATTTATCATATTTTATTTTTGAAAAAATGCATAAGTACCCCTAACTTATACCCGAATTTTTAATTACACATTTTTTTTGCGGGAATCTTATTACCCTCTAAACTTATTTTAAATAGAATTATTTACACCATTAACGCTGACAACCAAACTCTTGGCAAGTGGTGAGCTACACGCGCCCCACATGTATTTTTAGTACTTTTTTTAATTCTTTCTTCTTTTTCTTATCCTTTTTTTCTTATTCCTTATTATTCTCATTTTTTT